ATTTTTTTTATTTAGTGGGGTTAAAAAGCCTGTTAACGCGAACCAAACACCCAATTAAGGAATGTTTGTTTAAGGCCATCCCAAATTCCAAGGTTTCATTGATACGAAACCTTTATCAGGATTGTTCTAAATTGTTTTATTCAGATTAACAAAAGTTAATTTTATTTTATAAAATTAATTTTATAAATTTTTTAAAGAAATGATGCAACAAGGATTCACTTTTTACATAATATTATTAAAGATATAAATAAAAAATAATTGATATTATATTAAAAAGTTAATATAATAATAATTATTTTGAGACTTATTTTTAATCTAATGTGACACACACTATGTAACATAGAGTTTTTTAAGTGCTATCTTTATTAGATTTTTGTTATAATATATCAGTATAATATTTTTTACATACTTGCAAATCCATGTGTAATTTCCTTTTTGACACTACTAAATTTCTTTTAGTGGACAATCCTCACAAAGATTTCTTGGCATTCTGGGTTAGTTGAATACCTTTTCTTTTTGTAATAAATGTTGTTTAAATAGAAAAAATAAGTATTAGAAAGGTTCAATAAATACTAGCAGAAAAAAAACGTGGTCTTTAATAGCTAAACTAAGTACAAGTTTTTTTTTTTTGTCAATAAGGAAATTAAAGATAACAAAAGCAAGAGGAAAGGTGTTTCTAGGAAATAAAAATTCTTAACATGAACTTACAAAATATAAAACACACACATAAGCAAGAGGAATACAAGTCTTAAGTGTCAAGATATTTTCAAATAAATAAATTTATCTAATTGAAATTTCATTTATTTGTTTTTTCACAATCTTTTAGACATGTCACAAGAATTTTTATAATTATATTTGGATATACTTCTTCATAAAGTTTTTTAAAAAATAAGTTAAAATTAATGTATGTATAAATTAATTTATTAAAAATATCCTCATTTTTTTCTAAAAGTTTTTTAACTCATAAAAAAACTAATTTTAATCCATTAAAAACTTGTTTGTTATAAATGTGGATTTTCTCATTATGCTTGAGAGTCTAAGAGTATAAACGTTCCACAAATAGGTTAGGACAAATTTGTTTTGAGCAAAAAATATGATATGATGAAATTTGTAAATTTGAACTCAATATAATCGAGGTCCAACAATATTTAAGATAAGAATGTATCAACTCAACTTATTACTATAATATATCGATCTAAACATCATATATGTTACATCGTAGAATTAGATATATATATATATATATATATATATTATATATATATATATAAAAGGATTACTAACATACTCTCACTTATTTCTCTACCCACACACACATTTTTATTTTCTAATTTTTAAATCTTATACCTCCAATACACTTTTTTTTCTTTCAAGTTTCACATGTAATTCCTTATCTTTCATCCATTATTCATTTATTTTAGTAGGTAATTTTTAACTTTTTAAAAAAAAAAAATCATATTATTTTTCTCCCCCCTCCTCCTTTCACTTTGCACATTGATACTCTCACTCCCTTCTTATAGTTTTCACTCACACCCAAACCTTGAAACTGGTGCGTAACAATATTGTAAGTAGGTGCAACTTCTCCCACAATGTTGAAGGTATAAAGCCAAAATGCACATTTAATATTCAAACACTTCCTTTTCTTTCACACACCCCTTCCTCGACATTTATGTGTTCTAATTAGTTATAACTTATTTCATGAACATACTTTAGAAAATCATAACATTAAATTTAATATTCTAAAAAATATTTTCCAAAACATTAATTTTAATGTTTCAAAAATTACTTCCCAATATAATAAAATTAGCATTATGAAGAGTATTTTTTATAATTGCATTTTTTACATACTTTCATAAAATATTTTATGGAACACTTAAAAAAAAAACTTTTGGAATCTTTTTTTTTGAAAGTATGATAAATTTAAACTAAATGAAATATTTCCATTCTCTATCATTCACGGTATTCGATAGTGATGTGTGTAACTTGAAAAAAAATAAATTGACCAACTATTTTTTGTACATAAGTAATATTAAATAAATTACAAAAAGAATATAAGCTAAAAATGTAATTTAACACATTAATTCGTACCTTGTACTGAATGTAGGGAAGAATAAAGGTTGAATGAAAAATTAAAATTTTAAAAATTATAGAGTTAAAAGTGAAAATAAAATTTAAAAAATGAAAAAAAATAAAAATAAGATATAACTATCTTGATTGTCGAACAATAAAAATCAAGAATCAAAAATAAATGTTCCTATTTTTATTCTTGCCAATATCATGATTATAAGAAAAAAAACAGCAAAATAACCTTAATATTAGGAAAATAGCTATATTTAATTTAATTTAATTATATTTAATATATTAAATGATGTTTAAAGAATAATTAATATATTAATATTAATAATATTTATTTGGGTGTCACATACACACCTTAAATGAGAATTAAAGTTATACATATATTTATTATTATTAAATAAAAACATTTGAATTAAAAAAGAGATGAAATTATACCAATTAATATATTTTTTTTATAATTATTGTATCGTTTAAATTATATAATTATTGACCTATTTTTTTTTCTTCATATTATTTAAGTTACATATAGATATATATATATATATATATATTATTAAATAAAATATAGCCATCATAAAATTTAATATACATAATGTAATATAATATAATATGTCAAAACTAAAATATGATAGAAAAAAGTTAAATATATAAATATTATATTAATACTTAAGTTCAAAATTATTATTTAAATTAGTTACTTACATTTTTATTTCACGAATAATTTAAATTATATAACTTTTTTGTTGTGCAGATTATGAATATTATGTTATATTTAATTGTATTAACGCTAAATATTATGATAAAATTAAATACTGTAATATTATGAAAAGATATTAAACTAATTTATATTGCATTAACATTAAATAATATAATAACATTAAATATTGTTATATTATGATCTTATAAATATAGTTAAACTTTTAAAAAATACATGGTATATTTATTTCAATAAATAATTTAAAATAAAATTAAGAAATAAATTATTACGTGTACATAAGTCTATTTTGTTGTTTAATTTAGTTACTTTAAAATTTTTTATGTAAAAAATAAGGATTTGATAAAGCCGTTAAAAATAGATATTTCTTTAAATTTAAAGCACTTTATTTAAAATAATAATTAAGTATAAAAATTAATATATATATATATATATATATATTATCAAATATATAAGTTTATATTTACATTTTTTATATTTAAAATATGTTTTATAAACTAGTTTCTTAAACAATAATGAAATAATAACATTTAAGATGTATATGTAATTGTATATTAAACTTCGTAATAAAATAGACTGCTAATTAATTTTTTCTCCAATTTCTACCCATAATTATCATTTAAAATAAATTACTATTTTTTTTTCTAGAATAAATGTTATAGAAGTGTCGAAAGAGGGTGTAGGGAGAACTTGTGGCACATAATATGCCCACCACAAATTGGCACTAACAACTCATTTTCCATTTTTAGTATCACTTTCAGTTCCAATTCAATTCTAAACTCTAGTAAATTGTGACGAGAGTTATTTTCAATTGTGCATAGCATTGTTTAGTAAAATTAAGAGACTGATTCAATTTTCAACAATGATATTTAATTATCTATCTCTCTTTCTTTGCCTAATATTAAAAAAAAAGGGTAAATGGTTAATTAGGAAATTGTAGGTAAACGAAATGCATAGAATAATATAATAAGGCAGAAGAGAAAGTGGGTAGTAGTTAGTTAGTAAATGCTCAACTAACTACTCTTTCCAGACGCCCTGCCATCGGCCCAAAAATATGTACTTCGCATTTTCAGAGTTTTTTTTTTATAGTCCAGAAATTTAATTTCAAAATTATTGTTATTTTAATTTAAAATAAGCATATACTTAATTTTTCTTCACGTTATTCTCTCTTATTATTCTTCGTAACAAATTTTTTTTTTAAAAATACCAAAACTCATTATTTTTTGAGAAAAAAATTTATGTGTTGACAGTGTATTATTTTACGATATCATATAAGCATAAACTGTCGGTAAATTTATATTACATAAAAATTATATTCTTATTATTTATATAAGATTTAATGAATTTATTAATGTTTTTCTTTTCTCATGCAACAAAATAATGAGAAAAGGATTATGAAAGTATCAAATCTACATTGATTTGTAGGTTTTCTTATGTTAGTTTGCGCAAAAAAAAAAATCAAGTTATGTGTGTTTTTGTTTTTTCCTAAAAATTTCCAAGATCTAGTACATGTATGTACATTTTGTTTTTCATAGTAAGAGTGGGTAAGGGTAACTTCTCCTAAGATTTTCTCATTCCGAACCTTAGAGAAAAAAGATGAAGCTAACTATGGCAAAAAAACTTGAAGCATCATTTCCCTTAAACCACTTGAGCAAGATGCAACAAAAGAAACAATAATTCATATACTAATCCTATCTTTTCTACCTTATAGAAACTATGAGATGATCTTATGAATACATTATATATATTTTTATCTAGATATACAATTTACAATTTGGTACCAAACAATAATTCATTCTTTGGGATTAATTTCATGTAATTTTCATTAAAGAATTTGTACATTTTTTTCCTTTTAAAAAAAGTGAGAATGTTTAATTTGATTCAATAATAATAATATATTCCAGCATAAAATCAACAAAACATAATTATATTTAAACTATTTTTTTTTTATTTTGAGATAAAATTTATAGAACAATATGAATTGCTATCTAAGAAACTCTTCATAAATTTTGTATTTTTTTCAAAATTCATTTGTTGACAGACACAAATATTATTTTTTCCGAATCTTAAATCAATCAAATTCAATTTGATGAACAGAGACCAATTGGAATTTTGTTAGAATTTATGGTTTGGTTGTAGATAATCAGCCGAAACGGTTAGCTGTCCAACCCCAACTGCTTCACATTAATGGATGCATATGAATGCCACACCTCACATTAATTTATATATTATTACTATGGAAATTCAATTTTCTTAAGCTCACATTTCCTTTGTGTTGTGTTTGTGAGTAACTGGCAAAGCCAAACACACACACAACACAAACCTTCTCTCTCTCTTCGTCCAATTCAGGTGAATCCCCTTTCTTCCTCCTTACTTCTTTTCTTACAATTGGGTCATTCACATCATAACGTTCTTCCTCAAAGTTTGTATCTTTTGCTACCTTCTTCTTACCCACTTAATAAAGCTTTGAACTTGACGATTATTTCGTTATAATTAAGAGAAATTAAACGCCGGGTTTTCTGCTATGTTAACGTGATTGTAAATTCAATAGCTTCGTACAAAAACAACACTTTGTTGCATTGTGTTTTTTTGATGCTGATGTGAATCTTCGATTTTTTTTTTATTTTTTAATTTTCAGTCCTTGGTGCTGTTGGATCTTGCTTATAACCCTTGATTGATTCGCAAAGATGAAGGTCACGGTGGTTTCTCGCAGTGGAAGAGAAGTGGTTAAAGGTGGCATTCAGCTCGACGATTCTGTACGTCTTTTTTCTCTAAATTTCTTACCTTTTTTATTTTTTTAATTTTTTGCTTTTCATTTTGTCAAGTTTGTTGTTGTCATGGTAGTTTTGATATCTTAGATTGATTTGGGGGAGTTGGATTTTATTTAGATGACTCAAATTTTCCCCCATTTCGTGTATCTTATAAGTTGGCAAGTTTATCGTTTTCAAGAGTAATAATTTATGGTTTATTCCTTTATTTCTTTGCGTAGGCTACTGTAGCAGATCTGCAGGAAGCAATTCATAAGCGAAGTAAGTGAACGTGTTCCTTTTATCTCCTATTCCTATATATAAATTACTCTCTTTTTTTTTTTTTTAAGTAGTATCTGAGATGTAAAACAACTAAAATCCAGAAAGTTGTACATGTGGTTTTAGTTATTTTTTACTTGTGTTGTATCTTTAACTCGTTATACCACATGATGATAATTGATAACAGCCTCTGATGTTCATCGATGTTTATCATTCATACTATAGCATGTAGTATTTATTAAGATCCTAGGAGCCCAGATACATAACGGTTATGATGTGGATAGAGATAAGGATTTCTTTTAAGAAATCATGATATTACACAACAATGATACGATACAAAAAATGCACTATAACAATAGCAAATTGGAGAACACTGACCCAGAACCCTGCAAATCGGATACATGTTTGACACCAATACTTCTTTTCGGAAGCATGTGGGCTGCAGAAATTAAGCTCTAACTTCTTTTTAATGATTATAGCAGCATGATAACCTAGACCTATTAGCATTAAGTCTTGGTATCATTTATTAGATTATTAGATCTGCAAGTCATTTTTAGTAGCTTTTTACTTGAGGCTGTTCTAGGTAGGTGAAGTTGAAATATTCAATGTTCCTCGACTTATGAAAGTAATCCAATTTTATTTGGTGGTGAAATACAAAGAATTATTTGACGACAACATTAGTTCAATCCAGCATCCAACTCCTGTTACAATTGTATGGTTTTGTTTTTCCATTTTAGTACATATTAAACCCTCCAAAGGAACAATGCTTATCTGTAAAAATATCTGTCTTTTGGAACCATTGGATTTAAAGATCATTAACATGCTTTGTATGTTTCACTTACAGCCAAGAAGCACCCATCAAGGCAGCGCTTGACACTTCCCGTCCAACCCGGATCAAAGGAAAGGCCTGTTGTCCTTAATTACAAAAAGAGTCTGAAAGACTTTACAAGTGGAAATTCAGAAACCTTAACTGTTGTATTCAAGGACTTGGGCCCTCAAGTTTCTTATCGTACACTTTTCTTCTGCGAGTATTTGGGGCCTTTGCTTCTCTATCCAGTCTTCTACTATTTCCCTGTGTACCAATATTTTGGTTACAAAGGTGAACGTGTCATCCACCCTGTGCAGACATACGCCTTGTACTATTGGTGTTTCCACTATGCCAAACGAATTCTGGAAACATTTTTCGTGCATCGCTTCAGCCATGCAACCTCACCCCTTTCCAATGTGTTTCGCAACTGTGCTTATTACTGGACTTTTGGTTCCTTCATTGCTTATTATGTGAACCACCCTCTTTATACCCCTGTAGGGGATCTCCAAATGAAGATTGGCTTTGGCTTTGGGATACTCTGTCAAATTTCAAATTTCTATTGCCATATTATACTGAAGAATCTTCGCAGACCTGATGGCGAAGGCGGGTACCAAATCCCAAAGGGCTTTCTTTTCAATATTGTTACCTGTGCAAATTATACAACTGAGATTTATCAGTGGTTGGGCTTCAACATTGCAACGCAAACTATCGCAGGTTATATTTTCCTCGTAGTTGCTACTTTTATCATGACCAATTGGGCTTTTGCAAAGCACAGGCGTTTAAGGAAGGTATGTCTCCTTACCTTCTGTATTTCAGCTTATTAATATTGTTTACAGTCTTTAGTTTATAAAAATATGTGAGCAAAATATATATACATTCTGCCTAGGGTTAGAAATGAATCGAACTGAGCTGACTCAGTTGAGCTCGATAATATTTGGTTTAGCTTGTAGTTAGACTTGAGTTCGACATGAACTTTTTTTTTTTTTTTTCCGGTTCGAACTCAACTTGATTTAAGCTCGCGAATAGCTTAGTTGAGTTTATTATTGGCTTGAATCACATGAAAAGAGCCCAATTTTTTGAATCCAATACATTTCAAATTTTGAATTTAATAGATTTTAGATAAAATGATTGCAAAAGTTTTTGAATAGACTAAACAAAATTTATTGTTAGATTTACAAAACTACAAGGTATATTATCCTAAAAAGACATAATTACAACCAAATTCTGCTTAAATAAAAATTAATTCACCTTGTACAAAATAATGAAAAACTCAATCTATAACCATGAAATCCAAAGATGTCTACTTATATTATTATTAACTTATAACTATGTTTTGAAGGTTATTTTGAATTTTAATAAAAATGGATTTAAATAGAGTTGATTTTATAAATTATATATTTATATGCCAAATCGAATTATATGTAATTCAAGTTTAACTCATTTATTTATCAAATTTATTTTTTAGCTTTAAGTTTGACTCGTTTGGTTCATGAACCAAGTTTAAGAAGCTAAATATCAAATCGAGTTTCAAACTATTTTCAAGTTGATTTGATTCATTATTACTCCTAATATTTCCACATGAACTTTCTTGCAAAGGATATATTCACGTACAGTAGAAAAGAAATAATTTGATTGTGCTTTTTCCTAAGCTGCTTGATTTTTAGACTCCATTATGATGTTGTTTCTTCTCCTACTATGTTAAACACATGGATTGAAAATTGCTGCTAGTTGAAAGAATATGGTGGTTATGCATGCCAAGGTCTTCTGGATTGGGATTTTGTGTTTTCTTTTTCCCTATTAGATTATCATTTTTATGGGGTGAAACCTTATTATATACTATAGATTGAACCAATATTGTTAATCTTTTCCCTTTTTTGCATCTTTCAATCATGAATCATCGTCTCTTTTTTTATTTTTTATTTTATATACCTGCAGTTATTTGATGGAAAGGATGGGAGACCTAGGTATCCTCGTCGATGGATAATATTGCCCCCATTCCTGTAGAAGCCATAGCCACTGATGAGGGTCACCACTCTGCTCACAGGATTCTGAGATTTAGAAATGTAGCATAATGGAATTTTGGTGATCTATTTTTATTAGATATGGATTTGTCTTGCAATGCTTTTGACTACGTAGTTGATTACGAAATTGTTGAATTAGTGTTTTGCAGAATATTTGTAACCATTTCAAGATTGTAGCACTACTGGGGATTCTTGTTTCTTAATCTTCTTGTGATGACCGTATTCATGTTTCTTTTTAATTTTTGTTCGCTACTTCCGTTACTGTTAAGTAATGTTTCATCAATCGTTTCGGAAAAATGAAACTTCAATTGTCTACGTCATAAACATGGCAATGGAGAGTCTTCGAAAATCAAAACTACTAATCTTTCTCCACATTTAGGAAGAAATTTTCGATGCTCGTGTATTACATATTCCTTTAGTAGTTATTATCCTTAATCATTAGTATTCTCATTTTTTATTTAAAAAATTAAATTGAAAAAAAGGACCATACTTTCTGGTTGTTATAATTTGAAGGAAAGGAGAACATAAAAAAACTTCCTCATTAAGGATGACAGATGATTATTTTTATTTCTTTTGCATTTTTTTTATCAGTCAGAACTTCACATTTTCACACAACAAAAGCCTTTATTTTCTGTCTGAATCTGACACAGGATTATGTGCATTCATTGTCGACTAATTTTGGGGCTTATCCTTTACAATGTGTCCGCTAATAGCTTCATTTGCAATTCATACTTAAAGATAGCAAACATTTTGATTCTCGCATTTTTTTTTCTTTTTTTTAATTAATATATATATATATATACAACCCAGTTCTAAAAGGAACAATTAATATAAAAAAAACCGCGTTGCCGAATTTCTTAACACCTCGGGTTAAATGATGCAAATAACAAATCATCACAATCCTATCAAAGGGTTGATTTCTCGCCACTCTATTGTGTACAACACAAAACTACTCTGAGCCTTCTGTTTGTATAAAAAAAACATAATCCATGTCTGAATTGTGTAAACAATTATCTATTATGTCTTTTAGATCCTATAGAATAGCATGAACAATCAGTTTAAATAGATTATCTTTTTAAAAAAATAAAAGTTTTGTAACCTCTATAATTTAGTTTTTTAATACAACTTTCTTTTTTAATCAAATGTAAACTCAATATCAAATATCCAATAGATTACTACAGTGGTGCTCTACACTGTCTAAACAACCGGCTAAGAAATCATTCATGCAAGAGAAAGTGAATAGAGTGGAGTTTACCATCAGATTAATTCATGAAATTATAATCACGTCATTTTAGTCTTTTTTTTCTCTCCAAAAATGTCCTTAAAATTAGTATTTGTTAGTCAATTTAGCTTCTGATTACTAAGTTTCACAATGTCAGATTTATATCTGATTTTGATATGCACAAGTCGATTTAGTCCTTAACTTTATTGAGCATTAGATAATTCAAATCATATTACCAAAGACTGCATGAACTTTTGAGTGCACAAGTCAATTTAGTCCTTAACTTCATTGTACATTAGTTAATTCAAACCATATTACCAAAGACTGCATGAACTTATGAATTATGATTTTCAATTAAATAATCAAACTGGCAATAATCAAATAAAAGGATTAAACTCTTATTTTATAATATCATAAGATCAAATTAGTTTATAGTGTTAGTTTTATGAACTAAATTAATTGACAAATATTACAGTCAAGAGACAAACTAAATTTTCTTTTTTACAATATTAAAATAAATAAATTGCGCTTATAAATGCATCCTTTACCTGACACTTCCGTAAACAGCTATGCAAACATCATTTTTCCCTA